CCATTTTTACTAAAAATCTGTGGGGCCAAGATAGTTGATCGTGCACCACTCAAACACACAAGTCGGAATCCAAGTGTAGGTGCAGCTTCCTATGTTTTTGATCCACATGTTAGCTTTAAGTTTTATTTTTTCCTTTTCAAGTACAAGCTAGAGCTCGACTTAATTGAGTTGGTTCCATTCGAGCTCGAGTTTCTTTTTTTGGAGCTCGAGTTTCTGAAATTGAAGGAACTAAGCTCAAGCTCGATTTGAGATGTTCTCTAACTCAAACTCGATTAATTTTCTGTGAACCAAGCTTTAATATCAATGTTTTGAGTTAAATTCTGGATCCAAGAATATCATCTTCCATAAATCACAAAAAAACAAAAAAACAAAAAACCAAGAGTACAACTAATACATATAAAGAACAATATATGTGAACCTTATCAATAAAACCATAAATCCAATGTAATATATACTTTTCAAATCCTATACACCACATATATGTTCAAAATACTATAACCATACATCCAATGTAATATATATAATTATGAAATCCTATACTCTATATATATGTTCAAAACCCTACAAGTACCATATACATGGCAATATCCAAGTAACTACGAGTTTGTAAAAGTTTATACGTTTCTTCCTTCATATTTCAAGGTATGGAGTTTCTTCACTCATATCTCACAGTATGGAGTAGGATGACAAAACAAAAGAGACGCAAACCAATAGAAACTTCTTGATCAAGAGCAGCACCAGCACCGTTAAAAAGCTTCTGATCATTATCTGCAGCACTATCGAGCCAATAGGAATTCCAATGGTTGGGATGGTCATGAAGAACGCAAACATGACAACGAAAAACCTTCTCCCTTGACTTTATATTCTTCAGTTCCACCTCCATCATCCGCATTTTATGGTAATAATCGCAATTTAAAAAATACGAAACAGTCATTTTTGAGAAAACCATAAAAGCAAGTGTAGACATGGCAAACATAGCAGAGAAGATGGAAAACTTAAGCCTCCACTCTTTTTTATTTAGAATAAGTATTATTTCAAAATACCATAAGCTGGCCTAAAGTAGAAATAAGACCAAAAACTTCTAGAAAGGCAATAGGCTTTTTTGTTTTTCTTCAGCCATACAACTTCTACAATTTCAAAAGCAAATGCAACCACTGCAAAAACAAGCCCCACGTAAGAGTATATTGTAATATTTTTCATTTCCAACTTGTTCCATTGTGGCACTTGCAAATTCTAGCAAGACATTGAAGGCAGCATAGTAAAAATCTGATTGTTGTTCCATAAAAAACTTAAACACTTTGAACTTCAATTTCCTGAAAACTTTGTTGGTGAAGCATAACACTATGAAAACCATGTGAAACACTGTGGGTTTCATTTTCTCAAAAACTTTGCAGGTGAAATGACACACTTTGAAAATTAGGTAAAATACTTTGGACTCCACTACCTTGAAAACCTCGTAAGTGAAGTGAAGCACCATGAAAAACATAGGAAAGACTTTGGAAAACATTTTTTATGTCTGTAATACAGAGAAGGGCTAGGTGAAGGATAGAGAGAAAATGGAGGTTAGAGAGAGGGAGAAAATGTAAGAATGAGCAACGTAAGAATGGATGTTCCATTCCTATTTATAATGGTCTAAAGAAATTACCTTTCTTTTTTTTTTTAATGCATGATTTTGAAGCATTAAATTACCAAACGTTATTAAAAAATAAATAAATAATGAATGCTATAAATACACACTAATTAGTGCACAATTTTGAAGCATTAAATTATTGTATCGATTAATAGCACGATTTTGAAGCATTAAATTACCAAACTACCTTTTTTCTTTTTTAATGCACGATTTTTTTTTTTAACCTATAAGTACCATATACATGGCAAGATCCAAGTAACTACGAGTTTGTAAAAGTATATTCGTTTCTTCATATTTCGTGGTATGGAGTTTCTTCACTCAAATCTCACAGTATGGAGTAGGATGACAAGGCAAGAGAGGCAGACTGATAGAAACTTCTTGATCATGAGCAACACCAGCACTGTTAAAAATCTTTTAATCATCATTGGCAGCACTATCGAGCCAATAGGAATTCCGGTGGTTAGGATAGTCGTGATGAGTGTAGACATGACAACGAAATACCTTCTCCCTTGACTTCATATTCTTCAGTTCCACATCCATTGTTCGCATTTTACTATAACAATCGCAATTTAAAAAATACGAAAGAGTCAATTTCGAGAAAACCTTGACAACAAGTGGTGACATGGCAAACATAGCTGAGAACATGCAAAACTTAAGCCTCCACTCTTTTTTGTATAGAATAAGTATTATTTCCAAAATAGATGCCATAAGCTAGCCTAAAGTAGAAATAAGACCAAAAATATCTAGAAATGCAATAGGCTTTTTGCTTTTCTTCAGCCATAAAACTTCTACAATTGCAAAAGTAAATGCAACCACCGCAAAACCAAGCCCCGCGTAAGATTATATTATATTTTTTTTTCATTTCCAACTTGTTCCATTGTGGCACTTGCAAATTCTAGCAGGACATTGAAGGCAACACGGTAAAAATCTAATTGTTGTCCCTTAAAAAACTTAAACACTTTGAACTTCAATTTCCAGAAAACTTTGTTGGTGAAACATAACACTATGAAAGCCATGTGAAACACGGTGAGTTTCATTTTCTCAAAAACTTTGCAGGTGAAGCGACACACTTTGAAAAATAGGTTAAATACTTTGGACTTCACTTCCTTGAAAACCTCTCAAGTGATGTGAAGCACTATGAAAAACATAGGAAAGACTTTGGAAAACATGTTTTATGTCTGTAATACAGATAAAGGATAGGTGAAGGATTGGGAGAAAATGGAGGACAGAGAGAGGAAGAGAATGTAAGAATGAGCAACGTAAGAATGGATGGTCCACTCTTGTTTATAATGGTCTAAAGAAACTACCTTTTTTTTATTTTTATTAATGCACGATTTTGAAGCATTAAATTACCAAACTACCTTCTTTTTTTCTGTTGCAATTTTTTTGTATTTTTTTTTTTTACCTGTAAGTACCATATACATGGTAAGATCCAAGTAAATACGAGTTTGTAAAAGTATATACGTTTCTTCCATCATATTTCGTGGTATGGAGTTTCTTCACTCATATCTCATAGTATAGAGCAGGATGACAAGGCAAGAGAGGCAGACTGATAGAAACTTCTTGATCATTAGTAGCTCCAGTACCGTTAAAAAGCTTCTGATCATCATCAGCAACATTATCGAGCCAATAGGAATTCCAATGGTTACGATGGTCATGAAGAGCGCAGACATGACAACAAAATACCTTCTCCATTGACTTCATATTCTTCAGTTCCACCTCCATCATCCGCATTTTACTGTAATAACCGCAATTTACAAAATACGTAACAGTCATTTTCGAGAAAACCTTGAAAGCATATGTAGACATGGCAAACATAGCTGAGAAGATAGAAAACTTAAGCCTCCACTCTTTTTAAATAGAATAAGTATTATTTCCAAAATAAATACCATAAGCTGACCTAAAGTAGAAATAAGACCAAAAACTTCTAGAAAGGCAATATGTAACGCCCTCAAAATAACAACATTAAACCCATCAATAAAGATATGCATTGATATGTAAAAGTTCCACATTCTTCCATTTCAGAGAGTTTCATTACAAAAAGTATTACATGTTAACAACAAAAGCAAAATGCCCTACAGGCTTACAGCTTTCCAAGTTAACACTTGGTTACAACAAAAGAGTACTAACTCGTTTACACATTAAGCCCTTGGCTTGAATTTACATGTAATACATCAAAAATTGTTGTAACCAAGT